TGAAATTTCTCCGCACTTTGAGATCTGGAGGTTTTAATATTTATGCCACTCAGTATCCCTCTATTTAGTTAAGAGTAAGAGAGGCGGCGAGTGCAGCTCATTAGCTGCCCTCAAAATAGTATTTTAAATTCGGGGTGACTATTCCTGAACTTTAGGGACTTCTGACTGACCATTTAGCCCATTTTTTGCGTTTCATTTGGTGATAATAAGGTTGACAAAATCAGAACATGAATATTCCGAAAATTAAAATATGAGATTTGAAAGAAATCGAACACATAAAGTTTGGTTAACCAAACGACATAGTTGTCCAATTCTAACCAAAACAATAATAATTATTAGTATTTACACACATGTGAAACAGAACTGAAGACGAAGTTCTTTGTTTGGTATAAATCTCGCCCAAAGCTACACGAAGGCTTATCTGCACCAGCCACCCCTAATTTAGCAGTGAAAGACTAGAGGGAAGGCAGCTAGTCATCACCACCCACTTCCAACTCTTTTACCAACGAATAGTGGGATTGACCGTCAAATAACAACGCCCCCACGGCTGAAAGGGTGGGCATGTTTGATGGGACGGGAATTCAAACCCGCGACCCTCAGATTGCGAGTCGAGCGCCCTAACGACCTGGCTATGCCGGGGCCGAAACAAGTATATATAATGAGATGCTAGCCCTAAAGAAACATTTATACTAGTATATATAACGAGAAGCTAGCCTTAAACAAACATTTATACCAGTATATATAACAATAAGCTAGCTCTAAACAAATATTTATACCAGTATATATAACAATAAGTTAGCCCTAAAGAAACATTTATACCAGTATATATAACAATAAGCTAGCTCTAAATAAATATTTATACCAGTATATATAACAATAAGTTAGCCCTAAACAAACATTTATACCAGTATATATATAACAATCAGTTAGCCCTAAACAAACATTTATACCAGTATATATATAACAATAAGTTAGCCCTAAACAAACATTTATACCAGTATATATATAACAATAAGTTAGCCCTAAACAAACATTTATACCAGTATATATATATAACAATAAGTTAGCCCTAAACAAACATTTATACCAGTATATTGTTGCGTCATCGAGATCACGTGACTATTCTTACGCCCTCTACTTTCTACTTGATATAGCGTTTGTTTTAGCGCGATTGTTGAAAATAAGTGTATCGTAAAGTTGTATTCGGAAAGAATAAACCAGTTTTATTAAGTAAAGAACTTGTGTCGCTAAAGTTTCGTCGGAACGAAGTTACGGAAAGTTAATTAACAAACGGAGACGTAACAGTATATAAGCCTGGCAGGAAAAGCCTGCGGGATCGATGGAATAAAGAGAGTTCCAGGTAATTTACGATTCTGTTTCGAGCTTGTGTTATTTGTTATCGAGATTGTGGATCGCTGTGATTTATAGCATGTATTATTAAAGTAGTTAATTCAAAGTGATGAGAAACATATTGACTGTGGAATTACACTGTACTAAAGTTTGTATCGAAAAATAATAAACTGGTTTAATCAAGAAAGGACTTGGATCACTGAAGTTCCTCAGAAAGAATTTCTACCGGATATTAACAAATAAGCAGATACGCAAAAAATTGGTGTCAGAGAGTGGGATGGAAAAGAAGGAAAAAAAAAGAAAGATGGAAACGAGAAGTGGCAAATCAAACTACAACTTAGCAGATTCGATGGCAGCAATACAAGAACAATGAGAAATTAGAGAGAGATTACAGCAGTTGTTGGAGGAAAAAGAAAAGAAACAAGAAGAGAGACTACAGCAGTGGTTGGAGGAGAAAGAACATGAACAATAGGAGAGAGACAACAGCAGTGGTTGGAGGAGAAAGAAAATAAACAAGAAGAAAGTCTCCAACAGTTGAGAGAAAGCCAGCATACACAAATGGAAAAGGTTAGTAAATTTCAAAGTGAATTACATACATTAAAGGATGAATTACTGTCTTTTACATAGGGAGGATATATTAAACATGGACCAAATCAGCCCCAGACAACACAAAGCCCCTTCCAGACCCCACAGCTAAACCCTAATGCAGACATATTCAGTCACATTCCGGACATGAGTGTCTAGTACGAAGGAAGCCACAGGAATTCAATGGAAAGGCAACATGGGAAGCATATAGAGAACAATTTGAGCTCCTGGCAGAAATGAATGGATGGACTGAGGAGCAGAGAGTAGTGTATCTGGCAACGAGCATGAAGGGACAACCACTGGAAATACTTGGACAGTTGTCAGCAAACGACAGGTACAACTATAGAGCACTGGTTGCTGCTCTAGAAATCAGATATGGAACTCAAAATCAGTCCGAAGTCTACAGGGCTAAGTTTAGAACAAGAGTCCATGCTAAAGGAGAGACCCTGCAAGAGCTGGCACAGGATTGAGAAAGTATGACACACAAGGCTTACCCAACTGCACCACCCAATATCCTCAAACTCTTGAAGCGGGATCAGTTTGTAGATGCCTTGGACAGTCCACAACTGAAGATACAAGTAAAGCAAGTACACCCCTGTACTATGCGGGATGCAATGGCCAGAGCTCTTGAATTCGAATCCTACGTTAAGTCCAGCACAGAGGTACTAAGGTTGGTACAGTCATCAGGATTCACGGCCAGAAAAGGGCAGCTTTCAGAGAAGTTTGAGAGACTTTGCTGGCACTGTAACAAACCAAGGTACAAGAGAGCCCAATGCCGGCAACTACAACACAGGGAAGATGCCACGGCAGGAAGGGCTGTTATCCAGAAAGGTTGTTCGAACTGTGGAGAGTAAGGACATATGAAGAGCTAGTGTAAGAAGAATACTACTAATAAGTCAGCCTTGGGGAACCAGTAGTGGTTGGTGTTGAGGGATGCCCACCAACCCCCATTGTGAAAGTTCCAACAGGTAAGTGTAAAATGGCAAGCACACAGTGTCTACGTGACAGGAAAGCTTACGAAGAGTTGCCTGAAAATGTGTCAGAGTTCGTGAAAGTGTTATCTGAAAGGATGGATGATATTCACTATCAAGTGCATTCAAACTTGTAAACATCTGCTGATTTCATGAAGCTATGATTTGATAAAAAATCTACTGAAGTCAGATTTGTACCAGGAGACAAGGTGTGGTTGTATAATCCCAGGAAGACCAAAGGGAAGTCTCCTAAGTTGTCTTCTCCATGGGAAGGCCCATATGACATAGTGGATCATCTCTCAGACATGACTTTCCGAATAAAATATGGTCGGTGAGGTAAGCCAAAGGTGGTGGATGCCAACAGGCTTTGGCATTAGGACGTTTCAGTTGGAGCGAAGTGAACAATGGAACAAATGATGCTGCTGAAGATGTGTCACCTGAAAAAGCCACTGTTGGAGAAGAAACTCTACCCGGTTTTGAGAGGGAAAACAGT